TATATATATATATATGGTTTATTTTTTTAAATCATTCAAACTAATAGGTCTATGTTTAAATATAGGTGGTGTCATCGACTGAATACTTGCATACGGTGAACGATGAAGGAAGGCATTACACCGTGTGTCTCTTAGAGAGAAAATACAGTTGTGGGCGGTTCCAAGTCGACGAATTACCATGCCCACACGCTTGGGCTGTCTTGAAGAGCAAATTTCTAATGCTAGAAGATTATTGCTCTGACTATTACAAACCAAAGTCTGTTGTAATGACATATGAGGTGCCCGTGTATTCGCTGCCGGACCGGAATGAATGGAATATACCAACACATATATCAGATGAAGTTGTATTACCACCCAAATGAAAAAAATCTCCTGGAAGACCAAAGAAGAAGTGCAATAAGTCGTTCAGTGAATTGCTGCAGAAAAAAAAATCAACATTCGTGTAGAATATGTAGGCAGGAAGGACATAATAAGCGTATTTGTAGAAATGCTCCACATAAAAATTAGTTCACCTTCTGACTTGTATTAACGCTATAACGATTTGTCATAGATTCCGGTGACATTTTGAAATGATACATGTTGGCTTTTTTCGCGAATATATTCTGGATATATTTAGTTGGTGTATTAAATCTGAATACATAATTACAATACAACTATTATATTAATTCATGATCTCTGAATACAGATGATTACAATCTGAATACATAGTTGGTATATGATCTCTGAATATTAATTATACGTATTCGAATACATCTGAATACAGATGAATACAATCTGTTATATACATACGATATGATTATATTGTAAAAAGATGTAATATTTCATTCATCAAAACTAATTCTTTTTTTTAATACATATAAATACAACTAAATAAAAAACGACTTTTTGTATCAAGGATTATGTATGATCTCTTAATATTAAATACATGTATTTAAATACACCGAAATACATATTAATACAATCTGTTATACACATATGAAGGTCCAAATATGTATTGTATAAAGGTCTCATAGATTAATAATATATGTAAAAACATCTAAATATATATATATGAAGACAACCTGTAAAATACATATGAATAAACCCTGTGGAAAATATGTGAATATAATCTGGTGAATACAAATAAATACAACCTAATGAATATAGATAAATATGACCTGTTGAAATACAGATGAGTACAACCTGTTAAATTAATATGAATGCAATCTGTTGAATCCATATGAATGCAAGATGTGGAATACAGATTAATACAATATGTTGAATACATATGAATACAACATGTTGTAACCATACAAACACAACCTGTTGATTATAGATGAATTCAGATGCACAAAAATATTGAATACACCGACTGAATACTTGAAATGATCATATATGAACACTTTGACATTCTTTGCACCGCCAAAGTATGTCTCAACAATCCGGTTAGGCACATTTGTGTTGAACTGAAAATCTTGTGGGTCACCAACACATATGAGACCAGTGACAAGCGCAAACTCCCTGATTGAGAAGGATAATGTTGTACCATTGACGTATATTGAAAATACGTCGTCAGGACTTCCTTCTAACTACAAAACCATGAAGCTTGAACAATTGATGTTGTACCTCACAACGATTCATATCAAGGAGACTTCCAAAATAAGTAGAACCCAATATTTTATACTGCTCTGGAGTAAGTTTTTCTTTGAGGTCGGAGACTATGCCTGTGTTAGTATATGAACAAATATGCGGTGATAAAATAGGTTGTTGTTTCACAAACAGTTTAATTTCCTGCATACAACAAGAATTTAAAAAAGGTTTCATATTCAGAAGCAATACATAAACTCATTAATTGTTATGAATACATATAAATACAATTAAATACAATATGCAAAATACATTGGAGTAAGAAATACATGATGGAAATAGTTGTATATATATAAACACATCAACATACGAAAATCAAGGTCATCCCAGTGAGTACAAAACAGTGAATATCTACATACAATATGCAAGGAACACTGTAATAAGTACAAAAATACAATGAGCGAAATTTTGAATACATCTAAATACATTTAAATAAAAAGACACTAGACTAAGTACGCACAACTCAGTGAAGCCAAATTTTGTATACATCTACATACAAATATGCAAATGTCAGTGTAACAGGGACAAATGAGTGATGAATTTTTTGAATATTTATGAATACATACTACAAAAAAGGCTCATTTTGCGGGGGTCTTTTTGTAAATTTGTGGCAGTTTCCGACCTCCACAAAATGAATTATGGCGGTTTTAAAAAATGTCGTAGTTATGTTCGCCATGAGCATTTCTATGGCGGTTTTCTAAAACCCCCACGACGACCGCCACAAAATAAAATTTCAATTTGTGGCAGTTTCTAAAGGCAATTAGTGATAATTTATAACCCATGTAATTTGATTTCAATGTTTACAAAAAATTTATTTGTGGGGATTTATAACCCCCATAATTTGAACTCAATCATTAAAAAAAATATTTAATACTAGCAGTTTATAAATGATGCAATACCTATTTCAAAATTTAAATTTTAGGACTCAACAAATAATTTTACTAAATAACTCATACATCCAAAAATAAATTCGATTAAAATATCTATTGTATGTTTGTAACATACATTACAAATCAAATTCATATCAAACTAAAGTTTACAAACACATACTAAATGATAACTTTAACATTAGACAATCTAGAGTAGTTCCTCAACAAACAAATATACAAAAAATACAAAGTACTTGGTGATTTGTATTGTTGCCACTTGATGATACTCTTATATCCATGCGCGAAGCAAACTCGCTTTTTCCATCATATGCTGAACTAACAAAACAAAGACATTCGATGAAAAACATATAAATGACTAGCATAGTCTAACAATGGCATTGTACAAAAGTTGATGGACAAATCTAGTTACAGAGATAGACGAAAAATCCAAATCTTCTAACAAATAAATTTGTCACTTGGTCTAACAACAGCATTGAACAGAAGTTGTTAGATACTCTCACATGAATAAGAGCTAAAGTACAAAGTTGTTTCTTCGTATATCATCACAAAACTTACCTCCACAAGCTATTCTACTTGGAAACATAGATTCTAGCTATATATTCATAAAAAAGACCAACTATGTAACTACTAAGTATTAAGTGAACCTCTATAGGCTTTCTAACATTAGAATTAAGGAAACACATTATAAGCTACAATCCAGCCCAATACAAAAGTTAAACTTGCAATAAAGTTGAACGCTAATAACACTGGAACACTAATAGAAGAAATAAACTGATAAAATAGGAGGGAACTAATAATTAGTTAAACAAACAAACCAGTGTCAATCTTCTGGAGCTAATTTCAAGTAAAAGAAGCAAAAATAGTGCCAAAACTTCAACCGAAAAAATTGAACTTATATACTATCAGCTTACTTCAGTATCTCATTTCTTAAGGGACTTAATCAAATTTTATAAGGCATAAATTCCACTATAATCTTTATAAGTAATAACTATAAAAGAATATGAGACAAATTATTCTTGGTTACTTAACATAATCTGGGGAACAGAAGTGCAAGGATTGAAAATGTAGAAGGCTATCATTTCTTTGTAATTTCAACTAGTGTTCGATGCTGCAAATGTTCTTCCAATTACTATAGCTTCCTATAATCCAAGAAATTTATTATGCAAAAATAAGCTTTCTATGAAATGAATACCTGGTCAAGAAACAAGTTAAGAAGCATAACTTAAACCTCAATGCTATCATGCCAGTACAACAATCCGCAAACTTTTGTACACATATTCACCAGTGAAATATATTTTTTCACCATACTTCTTTGCACCCAAACAGATCATGCATTATGAAAAGATAAATTGGAAAGAGTACAATAGAGGTATCTCCTAAACTATAGTAACAAACATCACAAATTCAAATACATATAAACTAAGTAATACAAACTCATATAAGCTAACTTAAACATAACATAACCTAGAGTAGCTCCATAATAATTAATTAAATACACAAAAATGCTAAGTATTTGATCAGTCATTTGTATTGCTGCCATCTGATGATACAAGTAGGCACACTCTTAACGTCACTATGCTTAAACAATTGAATAAAAATATTTGATAAAAAACTAATAGACTACTAGCATTTTTCTGACAGACTAAATGAAAAAATATGGTAACATGAGAAGAAAAAAAGATCCCAAATCTCAAAGATATAAGTCTCGAGCACTTGGTATAGCAATGGCGTTGCACTAAATTTGATAATATTAACATGAGAGATAAAGTACAAAGTAATTTTCTCGTATATCATAACAAATAAAATTTATATACAACTAGCTTACTTCAACATCTCATCTATATCTTGAGGGACTTACTCAAATCTTCTAAGGCATGTATCTTGCCAATATCTGTAAGAATAACAACTGCAAGAAAATATGAAACAAATTACTCTCTGCTACTTTATGCAACTGATATTCGATGTTGCAAATGGTCTTCAATTATTGTAGCTTCATATTATTCAAGAAGCATATTATATAAAGTTTTCTCTGAAAAAGGTCTTGCCAAAATGAGTTAAGAACATAACTTACCCATCATTGCTATCATACTAACCCACCAATCCTAAAACCTTTGCAATGTGCATCACCTTATTATAACTAAATAGAATGTAAAGCACACAAAAAATACTGACTGATAAAAATAAAAATCATGAAAATTTAGTTTATCAAAAACTCATAATTTGAACAACGTGTTTTTTAGCATAGAAGATAAACATCGAAAGGTTAAGAAAAATCAATGGAACAATTGCAGGGAGCCAAAAGTTTTTCAATTCTTCTTTCCCTTCTTAATGAAATCCCCTCCCCCCTCTCCTTTCCACCTACCCTAAAAAAAGGTAGTAGGCAATCAGACTGTGATTGTATTCTAAGATGAACTCACATGATTTCCTATTATTAAAATTTAACAATTTAAAGAAAAATTGAAGAGCAAAACACATACTATAAAACCTAGATTGTAAAAAGTATAATCTCATTTGTAATTAGGAACTCGAGAACAAAGCAACTCACACAATAATGAACAACAATTTAACCTCATACTTGTAATAATACATAGATCCACAAGAATACTTAAACAACTTCAGTTTCAAACTCTACATCGGAAAGTAAACAAAGAAGACATAGCGCAACAGAAACTAAGAAAGAGCATGACAAACTTTTATTTTTCGAATTGTGCTGACTTACTATGTAGTGAAGATGATGAAGAAGGGGAATTGAGCTTACCTTTTTAGCGAATTGGGAAGCGAAAATTGAAACTCCTGAAAATTTTCGTGAGTTGGAGAGGGGGAATTGAGCCCTTCTGGAAGATATCGTGCCCTATGAAAAAAAGGAGAGGGAATTTTGCCCGCGTAGTTCTAAAAATTTTGAGTCTAATATCTTAATTACCCCGTAATGTGCATATTAAAAACCAAGAAGATGATGTCCAGTATTGTCTTTTAATTATATTTTTTCTCTTTTATTTATTTTTTACTATTTATCTAGAAAAGAATTTAGGCAATAAATCTAACTTATTACTAATAAAATATACTTAAATATTATTGATATATATATATATATATATATATATATATATATATATACTACACACAAAAAAAACACATCCAAACAAATAATAAATTAAAATATAGAGAAAAATCACAAAATGTCATTAAATTAAATCATTTAATTAAAATTGTAAATATCCTTTATTAAATAAAAAGTTACAAAATTTCAAAATTACTAGTATCATTTATTTAATATCAAAACTTCTAATATTATGAATATAAGACATTCATGAGCATATTTTTTGTAATTTTCTTTTAATTTTACACTTATGGATTAGTGTGTATGTAGGTTGAACCATCTCAAGCTACCTCTCATTTTACCGTCATGCATCTTAATATTTGTATCTCTCGAACATTCATATTGGAATATGTTAGATTTTAGTGACTTAACACTCACTACCATATAATATTATCGATCTTATAACTATTTTTTAGAATTTATCTTTTACTTTGATAGATATCCTTCTATCACATAACACTTCTCCATTATAACAATCCGATTTTAATTATATGAGTAACATTTTTATTTGTTATTCTTTTTTCTTGAACAATGAACCCATTGTAACAAACCAATTTTTCAACACTTCTATTACTTCAAAAGTGACAGGAAATTACAACTCAACTCAAACTATTCGAGGAATTAGATATACTAAACTAAAATACAAGGAATAGAGAAGAAGGGATGAGAAGCTCGGACTATGAATGGGGATGAGAGGATACAGACACTCAGAAGGAAGATGAGGAGCAGACACTTCACTCAACAACACACATCCATGTACCTCCCCCCGGGATTCCAAATATAATGTCCTAGCATTCTATTCAATTGTTTAATCATTGGGCTTTTAGCTCCAGGCCCAATAGTCCCAAGTGGATCAGCCTCGTTCCACACTTCTGGCCCATAATTCCTTATTAAGTCGGGCTGGTTCACAACAATACTCTCATCCTCAAAAAGAACCTTGTCCTCAAGGTTCGAGTAGAGCAACACTGATATCGTAGTGCTTGAGGTCCACTTGCGTCCCAAAAACAAACCGCTAGCCCCATAGTTCATAACGACACTAGTGCGTGAAGAGATGCTCAGAGTGTCCATGATGTCGCCCTTTGAGTTGGATATACAGATGAGTTCATATATCAAAGAAATTACTCTTCTAATATCTTGCTCCCAAAATTGTAACAGATGTTCTAGATTGCATATTCCTTTTCCAAGCCTCATTTTTTCAGAGAAGTGAAAGAGAGTATCTGGCAGAACTCCTTTGAGAACTTGAACAGACAAGATCTGTTGTGAAGAAACAGCCATAGTTTCAAGGAAAATGAGAATTTTATGCCTGCAATCACACCAACTCACCTGTTCAAGCAAAGTTATGATCTCATCAACCTTATGTTTAAGCAAACCGAAAAGTATCTCTTCAGCCGCAACACAAGCTTTAGCAAAAGGGAACTGTCTCCTCCCTCTCTTTGCGATTCTCGTGGGGAATTCAAACACTTTCAGGTGAATAGCTTGGCTAACCCAAACAACAGATGTACCAATGAACTCTAGGAGAGCTCCACTTAGAACCACAATCATAAATCGAGCCGAATGATTAGTCACCATATCATAATAATCAAGTTGGTGACCATAGGACATGAAACTCACTTTCACAATAACTGCAACAAGTGTCTCCATTATATATTTTAGATATTTAGAATAGAAATGCATGAAAATGACCAAAAGTCAAGATAAGATTAAGTGGATCCTCTTATTTTGACCCACTCTAATGTATCAAGGGAAATGCATTATCCTGGACAAACTCACTACTGCATGAGTAAAAGTATACCAGTTCCAAAAATCGAGCAATAGATACAACCATAACAAGAGTAATATCATCTCTAAATATATGAGTGGAATTACTAGAGATCTGCTCATTTTGAGCACCAACATAAGCAAGACTCGAGCATCTTATAGCTCCTCTTCGAATTGAGGAATTCACACCAGCAGAAGTAAGTGCAAGAGCAATCTTGCTGGCTTCAATATGTCTCAATAGAAGATACAAGTATTCAATGCAAGCGTCCCACGTGGTTGACGTCAAACCCAATGCCTCATAGAAATCAGAATTTTGTGTAATCCCAAGGCATGTAGCAAGAAAACTAGTGCCAAGATCAAAAGGAAAGTCATTGGCGCTAAATTCAGCATTCATGTTTTCATACTCAGCATCATTAGGTACCAAGGCTACAGATGGTTGTCCGAATATGTAAGAAAAAGATGTTACAACCTCAACACATTCACAGTCTAACTCTGCATGGGTGATAAGTAATAGAAATCCATCATATTGTTTTAATTCTTCAAATTCACTACATAAAAGCGCATTGGAATCAGTCGGATAATCATGTCCTGTATCGAACCAAATGTCCACGCAACTACATGATAAACTAAAATAAGCACAATCAACAATATGATTTCTGGCATATTCAAGCATCTTAGATGCCTCCATGAAAGAGATATGTGTTGCACCAGCCGAAACTACAATTAAGGACACAATGCTGGAACTCGAATTGTTTAACTTCAAGGGTTGCAGACTTAGTGTTGGGTCCCATACATGAAAAAAAACACCGGTTTCAACTAAATTACTTGGGGAAACCAGATTTTTCATGTCATTACCACAACCCTGAGTGAGTACACGAGGCAGGTCCAAGGCACAAGCAATAAAATAGCTAGCATAGTGTCTGCCATCAAAGGCAATTTCCAAGAGAACATATATGTGCCTACTGTTTATAAACAATTATAAACAAGAACCACCCACCTCGATTATTTTCCCTGTGTCAATCCAACTACATTTGTGTAAGCAAAATCATGATGACGAAACAATATATTTTGATTAGCACTAGCAAATGAAAATTTTAGTCCATGAAATCTCCCAATAGCATTCGACATAACATATCCTTGCCTAGCAAAAAAACCTGATAACCAGTTATATCTCTTAGAGGAGATATTTTTAACACCGGAGTTGCAGTATCTCTTGAATTTTCCTCCTCTTTACTTTTAGATTCCAGTACTTTTGTCACGTTACCATTGAAACCAGTTAAACCCACTAAGGAATTAATGGGAACAGAGATTGAAGGAGTACCAATCTGATTGACTAGAATCTCAGTAGTATACTCAGTTTGCAAGGTCTCAAAGTGAGACTGGTGCGTGTTGCCATTTTTGTGAGAGCCTTCATCAAATACCTAGACCTCCTTTGATTTTGCATTGTTTAAAGCAGATTTCGTTGTATCAGTAAAGACTTCAACATTTGATTCCTCAATAGCAAACACCTTGGAACAACAACAGCGTATGACATATTGTCGAACACCTGGGCTTCGATTTCGGTAGAATATTCCTTGCTTGTAGCCATGTGACCTTCCGGCGGCTCGAGATGTTGTTTACAAAAATGAATTCGCACCTTTGTAGCAAAGTTTTCCCAATCCGTCAATTGTTTGTTCCGGAGAAGCCATCAGAACCACTCCAACGCCTTCTCGTCTAGGTAAATAAACGCGCATAATAATTTGTTATTTTTTGATGTACCGTAGAATTCAAAGTAACGTTCAGCCCGAGAAATCCATAACTCTGAATCCTCACCACTAAATCGTCGAAATTCCACCAAAGTAGGCTTACTCGTTGCAAAGTTTTCAACCAACTCATGTAACAATGAATGAATTTCAGCGATATCCTTCGACCACGAATCCTTCACCACCTTAATTGAATCATCGATAGTTCAAAATATTTGGTCCTCCATTGAAGACCTCTGGATGAAAGCACTAATATAACAAACCAGTTTTTCAACAATTCTATTACTTCAAAAGTGACAGGAAATTACAGTTCAACTCAAACTATTCGAGGAATTAGAGATACTAAACTAAAATACAAGGAATAGAGAAGAAGGGATGAGAAACTCATACTATGAATGGGTATGAGAGGATACAGACACGCAGAAGGAAGATGAAGAGCAGACATTTCACTCAACAGTACATATCCATGTATCTCCCCATGGGATCCCAAATATAATGCCCTATCATTCTATTTGATTGTTCCATCATTGGGCCTTTAGCTCCAAGCCCAATAGTCCCAAGTGGATCAGCATCGTTCCACACTTCTAGCTCATAATTCCTTACTAAGTCGTAATGGTTCACAATACCCATATATAAATATTAAATTGTTAGCATTTTCGCACCACAATCATATCTAGTCTCACCTCAATTTCTCTCTTCACATGTTGATTAAACTTGTAGTGCGTATATTCACTCTTATTTTATTAATCCTAAAATATTTGCTCTCTAAGATGTTCNCACAAATTGTATCGAATTCTAGTATTCTGGAAACCCCCACAATTTGTTGCAATTTGTGGAGGTTATAAAAAACCTCTACAACAAATCCCCACAAAAAGAATTATATTGCGGGGGATAAAATAAACGCCACAAAATGATCTTATAGTGAGGGTTCTTATAACTCCCACAAATAAACCCCCACAAAATAAGCTTTTTTTTGTTAACATACATATAAATCACATCAACAATTTTGAATACATATGAATACATCAATATACATATAAATCACATCAACAATTTTGAATACATATTGATAGAACAACAATTACCTTTTTGTCCCGTGTATCCGAGCTTTTTTTTGCATCAACTTCCTTTCCCTTGACACATGAAGCATCATCCATAGGTTTTTTCCTCTTTTCAGCAACAGGAAGTGTTGTTTCTTTTGAAGATTTCTCAACTTGGGCTTCTTTCAATTTGTCGTTGTGTAATTTAGTTCTTCTCTCTGAAGCTGTAATTGTTGATACACCCGCAAATTCCAAT